GGTCTCTCTTGGAAATCTGTCCCTTATTAGATTCAATCATCACCCTTCTGAATGACAGTAGAGGAAAATTCAATATAAATTATTTTGAAGATCTGAAAGGTTCTCTCCCAGCATGATAATTACTGTGTTTCCATTTCTGTTAATGACATCTAAGAACTGGAAACACAAGCAGCGGTGGAGGATTAAGTAATTACGGAGTATTAGATACATTTGAAGAGCAGGGTCACAGAAAAAGACAGAAGGAGAAAAGAGAGTGAGCGTGCTGTGGGCTGCTCATCAGCTTGAAAGCTATAAAACATCCCCCCTTATTCACAGCTTGCTAGCTGTAAAGGACAAAGGCTCAGAGTACAGATCAGCTGTTCTTTATTGTCCCCATTCTGGAGAGCTACAGCTTTTATGGGTAAGTAAAGCTCTTGTTAACTACAGACAGATATTATCTCTAATATGTGATTAATTTTCTCTCACATAGGAATTGCAAATGTATGTGATAGAAACAGAAAACTAATTTAGGATCATTTAAATATAGAAGTGTAGTTCTATGATAAATGCAGTACTATAGGTGACCTGAAATTCTCGTGTGTCCTATTTCAAATAATACTTAACACTTAAAGTCACATGAAAATTAAGGTTTGGTTAAAGAACACTAGCAAATTATGAGAATGGCAATGAAAAATGAACTTAAAGCATTGGAAATTATGTGTTCTTATGAATTTAAGTATTTTGAAGGGAACTAAAATTCATTGTTCTCTATTGACAGTACAACATACATCAAAGCAAAGCTGCTCACATACACCTCTGCATACTTACTCTACTTTGTCAAGCACTGCTGAAAAGACCAAATCTGCATTTAAGTGGTCCGGCCTTTGAATATGTTTCTCTATGACTCAACTCTTAGCCTAGGTAATGCTGGAACGTAAACCTTTAGCTACAATCGTTCCATGTGAAAGCAATGACATTCATACTGGATTTAAAATACACTGCTGAGATTTTAATTTCTGTTATTCTCCAGATCATTCAAAGGTATCAGGTAACTGGATCACAGGGTTCAGCCTTCCACCTTCATTCACATGATAGTAACTTACTCCACAATTAGACCTTATGACATCAGTGGAACTAATCTTAGTATTACTCAACGCGTTTAAAGAAATAATCTCTTTCTAAGTGGAGTATGACAACCGAGCAGCCATTTAGAGTAATTACATTCCTAGTCAATTAAATAATTATTCAAGTGAAGTTAAACATCTCAGGAGTTTTAGGACACTGATTAAAAAAGCAGGTCAAAATTTAATTTAAGAGCACCTTAAACAGTCAGAGATGGACACAAAATGTAAGTGGACTAAACCAGTATTACACAGGTATTGCTTCTGGCTAAACCAGGTCTATTTGTACAGAATTATTTCTTTAGGACTGACTTTCTATTGCGATTCAGGTGGAGATAACTGAACTTGATGGATTGTTTCTTCTCCTATTCCTACATCATTTACGTGTACCTGTCCTACTTGCTGAATGCTCTGTTCAGAAAGCTTATTGAGATATTTGCTGATTGTGGCTCAAAGTTTTTATTTCCACTTTTGTTAGTGCTCTTTACAGCATGCATTTGGTCACACAGCACTGCTTCTGCTCCCCAAGTATGAAGCTTTGGACAGGAGAATAATAAGTGACAAACAGAAAGCCATAAACTTCTAAGTACAGATTTGCCAAACTTTTCTTTTCATAAGAAACATTCATTCATGTAAAACCATGTAACAATTTAGGCAATTTTTAAATATACGCTGAATTACGTTCCTTACAACTAAAAACATTAAAGCCAGCCTGGACAGTATTGCAAACTCCTTGTGTGCGCAGTTCTCACCGTGCTCCAGCATCTTGCCATTTGTTTCAACGGCATTATACCTTTAATAGATTGATACCACAGGGAAATCCCACAACTGCTGCTTTTAATTCAAGCTTTCTTCTTTCATATAGATTTTTAAAGCATTGTGTCAGATGCACTTAAATAAATTGGAGTCAAAGTAGCTTGTTGCTTTCCAGTACCTAATGGAAATGCAGCCACTCTTGTTCTGTAGAACTAGAATCTAGACTGCATGGAAGTCAATAGAGCTACCCTGAGCTGTACGGGCTGAAGAAGGGGAGACAGGGCCCCAAACAGCACAGTTTTGAGCAAGCTCCTCAAAGTCTCCCAGCATCATTTCAGCTAGATGTTCTTTGTGAAACAAAGCTCTTGCACTTGAGGAAAAAGCTGTTGAAGGCCCATACCCAGAAGCACATCACTACCTGCGTTTGCATCTTTCCTTCTTTGTTTCTAAACACTTGCTTGCATCACAAGGTAACCCACACTCTGGGAAAAAACCCACCTCTTTTTGCTCTGTGACAATCCAAGTAACTTTTAATATCCATTCACCTAAAACTATTGTTCATGTGCTTTGGGATCCCCCCCACCTTCATTTAAAAAGGCTAAATTAAGTAAAAATATAGTGCCACTTGGAAAGAGCTGAATTATCTTTTCACTATTCTAATATGAAAATCCAATTTTGGGGGAGCTTTTTTCTAACGAAGAGCAGTTTTAAAATAAAATCTATACAGGAAAAGGTACTTCATTCAGGACTCCGTCCAGCAAAAGTAGTGATAGTATATTCCTATTTATAAACTGGTAAGGGAATTTTGCTAGGGTCCTTTGTAGACTGGAGTGCAAAATTACTGTCCTGTTAAGACTAAAAATATTTGGGGATAAGAGCCGCTCAGCTTTTCTCAAAGACCTCTAGAAATTCCTTCAAAAACACTAATTCCAGAAAGAAAAAGTAAATACTCATCCATTTAAGAGAAATTAGCCCATGTTACAAATTAGAGAATATTTTCCTTCTAAGACTGTAAGAAATACCAGAAATAAGGACTGGAATCAGCACTGCTCAACCCATTTGTTGAAACATCTAGCACGCCAAAACTATTTCGTCAAAAGCATTTTATCATTAACTTATCTGTACAAGGGAAGCAGAACAATAGGAAGAAATCAAGTCACAAAGTACCAAAATGCACAAGCTCACCACAGCAAAAGAATCTTAAGACTTGTTCACAGACCCTTCCCCCCCTTTATTAAATGTTTCCTTTTTCCTTTCTCCAAATCCCCTCCCATACACTTTGATACATGTTTTGATATTAAAAAACTGACTTAGATAATCTCTGATGATTGTAAGCATTTCTTCCAGGCAAATAAAAATCTGCAAAGACTTTTGAACCTGATAGTTCTAGGTACTCTCAAAAAAGCTTGTATAGCATTACATAAACATAAGTTTGTGCATGAAAACCTTATTGCAATATTCAGCCGAGGAAAAGATACCCAAGATAGAAGTTATTCATATTATCTTGCATAGGCTGGAGCTATTGTAGACATGAACTCTATCTAAAAGGCTTTACGACTGAATGTGTGCTAACTGCTTGATTGAATTTATTTCATTAATACAACCAGGGTTTTCTCAAGATGTCAATCTGTATAAGCCTGCTCCCTTTCAAACAGTAGCATTTTATATAATCACCCTCTTACACTGGCAGCAGAGGACAGCTACTGGGAGGTCCCAGAAGCGAATCCTCTGCAGAATTCGGGCTGCATTCCAGTCCTCCCTGTGTTCCCCTCCTTCAACACCCACCCAATACCAACCCACTTGTGCAGCAGAGCTCACACCTATTCATACAGCACAGGTATGGTCTGTGGTCTGACACACTAGGTCAAGTTAAACAAAAAAAAAAAATTACCCAAATCGAATTTTCAAAAGTGTTAGGACACCTGTGCCTATCTACATACCTTTAAAATCTGATTCTTCTTGCTCCACTGGGAACAAACACAAAAGTAACACTTTATAGGTATCGACAGTGATGTACCAGTAAGCAGATTCTGCTGAGCAGCTCAGGTTTTGGGGCAGAGCTCTAAAATATAGCTCTCTATTACAGCATCATCTTACTGGTATTAAGCACTGACAGATCTTTTAAGGCCATAATTTTTAAAATGTGTGTCAGACCTCAGAATGATCCTTTTTTCAGTATGAGGTATCTTATACTGCATAAAAATAGCCAAATACACACCTCCACTAACTAGGAAAAAAAATACTGCTAGCACATCCATTATGCAATCAACTTCAAGGCTATCTCCCAAGGATCTTCTTCACATCCCTATGAAGTTATAAAATGGGTCAAATAAACGTGTCAGGATTGACACTGTAATACTGAGCACTACAAAAAGCTTCAGACAGTGCCCACAGAAAAAGTTGCCAGAATTTACACAAGTTCCCACTACAGTCTGCTTTATTCTGGAAACCTCTGAGATTATTAATAAAGGAACTTCACTGACTGCACTGTAGATGATGTGGCACCCTTATCTTCCTCAACAGTGCAGAGACAAGACCCTCCTCTCAATGGCTTTTTCCAGATCTTGGGTGGAGTCATAAAAGGAATTAGCAAGGACAAGACAGGTGTAGATGGAGGATGAGTTGCAGACAAAAACTCTGTCCTTTTGAGAATTACAGAAATACACTTTTTTTTTTTTGGCATTGTACTAGAGGCACAAAAGAGAATGTCCTTTCAAGTCTGACAATATAGTTTTGTACTATAGCCTCCTAAATCTACATGATACACCTACTTCAAACAGCATTTGTCACACACAAGTGGAACAGACAAATGCTCAGGCCTATGAGTTTTCTTGCACAGACAACAATCATTAATTAAATCCTAGAAGTTCAGGAGTTTTAGTCTGGACTGCGGGACCTTTGTGCTGTGGCTGTGCCTACTTAGGTAGAGTCCAGGCACAAAAGGCCAATCATTGCATTTACCTCATTACTTGTCATCTGCCCATGTAGCTCCTACGCTACTGAGCTCCCTAGCGGGGCCTCCTTGCTCCGTCAGCCATGCCACGTGGCTGGGCTTCCCAGTGCAGCCAGCCCTATTCTCTAGACTCTGCCTGGTGATGCTCTCTTCACTGCAGACACACATTCTGCCTTCAGTTATGCGTCGCCATGCTCCAGCAATACCTATACACCAACCAAAACATCTACAGCCAGCCAGATGGCTTTGCAACAAGTCCCTGTGGAGAATCAGATTGCCTGCACTGCCATGGCCAGGGACGAGACTTCTCTGTTTCCCTGCAGAGGCAGCAGACAGCTGGAGGTCAGGGATAGAACATCTTCCTAGCTATCCAGCCTACCATTCTGTGGTCTACCTCCAACACCTGCCAACATCTTTCCTTATGACGACACATGCTGGCGTCTGGACACCACCTGCTTTATTGTCACTGCCTATAGTCTCTAACATCCACCTACACTCGCAACAGACTGTTTAGCAAGGATAGTTGAGGACTGGGCTGATGCTTTGGTATCGGTGCAAAGGCTTATTTTTTCACAGCTGTTCTTTTCTTGGCTGAAAAACCCCTTGTAGGAGTTGTCAGCCAAAAGAAATTAATGTTTTCCCTGCTATGGAGTCTAATTGGGTTTTCCTGCACTGACAGCTCTTCAAGCTAAATTTAGGGAGCCAGGGAAATTAGACTGAATGCTATTTGGCTGGGTTTATGGCCTACTTCCCATACACACATAATAACTAAAGAGAAGGGTTCCTTTAATTCACTTTGTGCTGCAAACCTACAGAACGTGAGCAAATAGCAAGCCCATCATATAAAAGATAACCTACTTAAGACTTTTATTACCTGTGTGATCAAAGGTACCTTTAGAGACCAACATCAGTCATAACAAATGCAGAAACTAGATCTCCAGTGAGCAAGCAGGACAGAGGAATTTCATTTATTTCCATAAATGCAGTCAGTCAATTTATACCTAGCTGTCACAATTTGTCCAATTACTTATCTGTTCACCTTGTTGTAGTCAGCATGTAGCTTTGCCAGCTCTGACAATTTACCCCTATATTTCAAAACACTTGGTGAAAATCAACACCCCCTGCAACTAAAGAACCATGGAAAAAAACTGAACTTTGATTTAAACCAGCAAGTTTCCTGACCTCTTGCTTACAAAGAAAAACCTGAAAATATGACCCAAGCACAAATTGTTGTTCATGAAGAAAGTAATTTTTAGGTCCATTACTCGTTGCTTTTGAGCACAGTACATTTGTTGCTATTCCTGCAAGTCTGACTTCTAAACCTGAAAGCTGGTGTTCCCCTTATCTTGCGTAAGGAATTAGAGCATCTGGGAGCTCAGACTCAGCATTAGCCTATGAAGCTGGCATATGTCAGACAGATCTATTCTGTAACCATTGTTACAGTTAGATTATCAGGCATGTAAAAAGGCACATACTTGTATACAAGTTTACAATATTTTGATTCCTTTACACTAAAGTGAATTTTATTCCTATTCTCCATCCCTCAAAAAAGGAATAAGTTTAGCAGAACACAATTAAGCAGCTTTTCATGCCATGGGTCATCATCTCTTCAGCATACGTTCTCCCTGACTGCACTCAGCTGGCTTTCTTCTGACTTATCTCACTGACCTGTTTTAGGTTATCCTAGGATAATCATATTTTTCCTCTTATCCATTTTCAGTCAGGGTTCTGCAGCCATTTTTTTCTGTTGACTGCACAGCATCAGCCACAGGCCAGTAGGATCTGCTTTCTGCCCCCTAGCTTTCCCCCCCCACACATTCTTTCCTGTATTCCCCCTCCTTGATGGAATTCACTTATCCAAGAATAAATTTGCCAAAAAGAAAAAAAAAAAAAGTTGTTTCCCCCCCAATCAATCTCCATTTCACAATCAATTGCCATTTTTCTCACTGGCAACAGTGTACCAATTTGTGTTACCACAAGGCATCTCAGTATCACCTTTTACCAGAGCCTCTTCCTCTGAGCCTGAATTTCTCTACTAGTTCTCTGCAAAATATCAACTTCTCATCATGTGAAATATAGCTGAGTCTCTTCGTGTTAACAAAGAAAAAAGCCTTTGTTCATGCACTTATAGCTTTGTACTTCCGTCATCACACAGTGAAACTCTCAAGTTTCAACCATGTAATGCTCACCCAAATAATGCAACATTTCAACATCTCCTTTAACTGTTTACATTTTCAAGTTCTTCACTCACTTATGTTTTGCTCAAGTTAAAGCTATGCACAGGTCCTCAAAGGATAAATGTTATCGATTAAAACCCCTTCCTGCATCAGCGCACTCCCTTCTTTTTCAATCTCTCAGCCATATAATGAACTTATCTTTCACCACTCAGGGCAGTCATATTGTTAGTAAAACTCTTGCTCAGAAGCAAACCACTCTGTCCACTCATCTGCTCTCTGACAGCCGCTCTGAATATGCCTGGAAACAAGCCTGGCATCAAAGGCCAAAGGAGAACTAAGCTTTCTGGACAAACCGCAGGCCAAACAGCAGATGAATGGTAGGAAACCCTGCAGAAATAAAAGGCTGAGTGGTGGTGACCAACAGCTGAGAGACTGAGGAATAGTCCAAGGCCAGCTGATGCACATATTGTAGACATACCAACACCATAGTAAACTCCCTCTAATATTTTCTGCTCCCCAACCCCTTGCAATGTTCTTCTGCCTAATGGCTGGTGTTCAGGCATTAAAAATTCACTCAGTATCCAGCCATGGCAACCAGACACCAACCCAGTTGTGTTCTATATCTATTTTCTTTTTCTACTTTACTGCTAGGTGGTTCCTATTATTCTTTGCCTAATTTTTTGAAAAAAATTAATGCCACATGACACCACGTCAAAGAAAGAGTATTTGTGGCTGTCCTGGCTGACAATTAAGAGAGTTTTAGACATGGATTACAGAAAGTTTTCTTAAATCCTTGCGATTAATAGAGAACATTCATGTAAGTACTAGCCAGTCAGGCTTAAATTCCTGTTTTCATCATCCTTTCAACCTGCAGCTCAGGCTAAACAGTAAAAACCTCCTTTAAAAACACACTGCATTCTCATGTTCTTTGAACAGTAAAGTGTTCAAAGGTGCATCCCACAGGATCACAGGCACTGAACAATGCTCTAAAGAGTTCAGGATGGGTCAATGCAACCCAGAAAGGCTGCAAAAGCCATGGGCAAATGCTAGTTTTTGTGGAAACCACAGTGGGCTTTTCTCTATTTTCCAGTTCTTGGCAACAGGTATTTTTAAAGCATGTTTAGAAACTGTACATAGTTGCCATTAACACTGAGAATATTTACCAACAGTCTAGACCAGGAGAAAAGAATAGTGGGGAAAATACGGCCCTTTTCAGATTCTGAGAGTGGGCAGAAGGACAGATTTCAATTCCCAGATGATGACATGGCTCCAGCTTTCTAGAACAACCTATACCAGCCATCCATTCCTACCCCTTTCCTCCTTGAAGAGGGTTGCCGAGAGATGCAGGGGCAAGAAAGATACAAAGGCTGTATATGCCCACATGATTGTAAACTACAGGACTGCCCAGGGTGAATTAATTTAGAGTAGTATCGGGTGCCATTCCAAACAACATCTTAGATTTCAACGCCATGCTGCCATCCATACACACTGGATCAAGCCATAAGCTCAGTTCAGCTTAATTGAACCAAGGACATTCCAGTGAACATCCACCAACAGAACTGCAAATTAAAATGCTGTCTCAAGCTTTCAAAGATGTTTCAAAATATTTCTTCCCCCTTTTCTAATTTTAATAAAGCAAATGTGTCCACAAAGCAGAATTCATTTTTTTGTCCACAGACATCTCCTGTCAAGTAACTTCTATGCAGAAAAAGTTAAAAAACCTCAGTCAAAGGAATCCTTAAAATTTAATTTTATTGTGAATTCTTTATGGCTACAGAACAGACATGAGTAATTTAAAACACTTTCTAGAGAAACAAGAGCAAAAAAAGTCAGGTGAGGAGTTCTTCATAATTATATCCCTGTCATCCTTAGGATATTCATTTTAAATTCTCTCCCCAGCTCCTTTTTAATCAAATGACTTTTCTCCTACATCTCATCACCCCTGAGTGCAGTGACAAAGACACAAAACATATCTTTTAACATGGCCGTAAATGGCTTTTCATGGAGACATAGATAATAGCTTATCTGATTTATAGGACAATTTTCTTGCCACGGGTTTGAAAGTCTGAAGAGATGGAGAATCTGTTCCTCCAATACTTTACTTCATGCACCAAGATAAGATAGTTCTATTGGAAAGAATATAAGTCAGCCCAGACCCAAGACAGTTGCATGCCTTTCTAGAGATGGAATACAATAATTCACCACTGGAGAAATGCAAAAACCTTTCCTCAAATTGTATTGCACCTTTCTCCTCCCTTCCCTGGTAAGGCCAAAGAAGTCAAAAGAAGCAGCTTATAAAACTGCTATCATCATATGGCTGCACC